TGGTGTATCATTGGGCCTTATTACGGGTGTCACTACACGGTGATAAGAAAGTGATACTCAGAATAAGAGCCGTGATTACCGTACAAATCAAATGGGAATCACTTCACCGTGACGACAAGTGACAACTTTTCACCGTGATGTGACATCCGTAATAAGCCCCCTTATAATATAAATCTTAAGACGTTCCATCATCGAAATGCTGAAAATGAACTTAGAGCATGAGCATGAGCAAAATTGATCGCCCGTGACTGCCAACACCAAGGAGCTGAAAACCAATTCAAACAAATCAAATCAACAGACAAAACCAGGGTGAAAGCTGTAAGAGTGAATCATTACAGTATAAATCTAGTGATGTTCCGTCATCAAAGAGCTGGAAGAAAACTCAAATCATTTAAATCAATAGATCCAGTCTGAATGAAGGCTGCAAAAAGAGAATAATTATACAGCAATGACCCCATTTTGTCAGCTAGCAAAGTATGCGTATCTTAAACATTCATCTTGAAGGAGGAAGGTATGAAATTACAATTATGTGGAATTATTGAAAAATAACAGTCTGATGCGCGGAGAGATTGACAGGATCGGGTCATAACTGTAATGTGAATATTAGGAAGATTTATCATCATCAAACTATTCTTGAATTGACCTGGAAGAATGCTTGTGAATAATTGTTATACAGATAAATTAAATTGATAAACTAAATGGTTCAAACAACAACTCCAGCCTGTAAAAAAGCTGATAATAGGGAATCTTTACAATGTGGATACCCGGCGGTCTTCTACTCAGTAAGCAAAAGCGGCAGCCACCAGGCTAGTCGATCTGCTCAATTTAAATATTGAAACCTTATTTTATGAAGTTCTTAAGAATACCAATTGAAACACAATGTAATCAAATAAAAGTTAAGAGTCTCATCCGAATCAAATGATTCCAAACGATACGCATTCATAGAAATTAAGTTTAAATAGACAAAAGTAGAAAAATGGAACAATCTCACCAAATCAGTCCAACTGAATCCCTTGCAAGCAGCTATGTCACGCTTGGTGTAGTAGCTCCGATCATAGACCCGCCCTACGGGGATCAATCCTCTGGTCGAATGTAGTCGATTGCTCCATGACGCGAACACGAAGCGACCGCTCACAAAATCATACAACGCGTAAACAACTGAAATCAAAAACTATCACACGCGACGCCACAAATTTCTGTACCGGGAGCACAAGCGAAGAAAAAAAACAAACAACGCAGATAGCGACACTTCTTCTGATGCCTGCAAACATGATGCATCACGTTTTCTTTTTCGATTCCAAAACTTCTCTGAAAGCGAGAAAACCACCAATCACACACGTATAACCGTCCGGGAGGCAGAGTGCCAGCGCTAATCTGGCAAAATCAGCGAACGCACGCACAAAACAGAAATAAACTTATACACAACCGTATCCGAACAGGTTCGAAGCTGAAGTGTGTCAACAAGAGGTCTACTCTATCCCTGAAAAATAAGCTTGCTTTCTCCAAACAAATCACCCTTCCAGTACCGTAATAGAATACGGGATGCAAATCTGGGAGAGTTGCGCCAAATTCCATCACCTTAAAGTCCAAAGGATCCAGAACAAGATCCTTAGGGTGGTCCTAAACAGTCCCCAGCGTACTAGAAATTCTGAGATCCACCTCCTGGCTGGAATTCAAACATTAGAAGAACGGAGAGTACACCGGTCTGAGATCAGATCATCAGATCATACGTGATCTAGCACGTTAGGTTAAGTTGTACTCGTAGTTAGGTAGGTTATCACTTTTTTCAATTCAAACAAAACACACCCCAAAGGGGTATTCTGTATACTAGTTGAAAAACGCAAATATTAAATTAGAATATCAAATTAAACAAAGTTGAAGAGCCAGGTAGCCTGATCTATTACTAATGTACTAGCATAATCAACAGAAATAAACATAGTTTATAGGAAAGTTTGAACATACTGAGAGGCAAGCACATATCATCGGTAAGAGACGTGTGTGTGAGAAAATCTGCGAAAAAATCTAAGGGCACGGGTGGGATTCGAACCCACAATTCCCATTCAGTACACGGGTGCATTGCCAATTATACAACGGTGGACCTATGGTCTACGGATGTATTTGGCTAATGACATTTGAGTTTCGAATCCGTTCCCCCACCCTAGTCTTTTTGCGCAAGCGTTCTCTGATACACAACAATCGTCTATTATCGACGATATGTGCTTGTACCGCAACCACTCAGTATCAGTCGATGTGAACAAACACAGCTCATTTTTGTTGTACATCTTTACATGCTGAAATATGTCCAGTACAGTATTGACTATAACATTTTGAGCTGCCGGCCTCACCTCCGACCACCGGGCCGTAGTTGATGAATATCAATTGTGGAATTGTGGGTTCGAATCCCACCCTTAGATTTTTTTTCGCAAATTTTCTCACACACACGTCTCTTACCGATGATATGTGCTTACCTCTCAGTATGTTCAAACTTTCCTATAAACAATTAAATTGACTGCAAAGTCGCTAAACCGTAAATCAAAAAGAAATAAACATAATTTTACTACTACAACCTGTCGCAGACACCAGTTCAACCCCTGTCCAGCAGCAGACGGGCCAAGACTCTTGCGAGTGCCCAATCATTGAACCGAGAATATGGGATTGTCCGGTCCGATTTGCTGATCCAGCTGCCTACACGTCATCATAATCTTCCAAATGCTTCCAAAGCCTCCAGATTTTCCAAAAGAGCTAAATTTCTGAACATGTCCCAACTAAAATTCATATCAAAAGGTTCTTTTCAGGGCAATCATAGTCATACTAAAGAGTATAAACAGAGGAAACCCCCATCAAATTCCTATTTCCCCACAAAGCACAAGCTTCTGCTGCAGTTAACAAATAACATTCATTATATAAGACCACATCCAACAAACAATTTGAGTTGAATAACAGCTGAAAAGGCAGTTTTTTAGCTGAAGAAGCTTATTTTTGCCTGAATAAGCTCTTATTCAAATTCAATGTTTGTTGGGCGTAGTCCTACGTCACCGTTGCGTACAACCCCACTATATCAGGTAGGGTAAAATTTCCCTTATCTGATGGTAGTGTTAGCATGCGTGGGCGAGCTACCAATTACGCCAAATCAACGATCAAATACAAAATCTGATATGTCCCTTCGAAAAAGTAATCGAGAAATGCTTCTTGTGTTGTGTTCCAATTGCAGAGTTAAATTTAACTCGTGGTTAAAAGTGACATTTCGAAGGTTATTTTCAATGTTCGAAAATCCCGGTGTTTTCGATCGTTTGGTTTTCAAACAGAACTCAGCCACGGTTGCCAAAATTTAGCTTCTAGTGGGTCAGAAATAACCACGCTCGGATAGCAGGGTTATTCAATAACTCCATCTGTTACTTTCAACCACGAGTTAAATTTAACGCACCTATTGGGACACAGCCTTGGAAGTACAGCAAACGCACCGAGAAGTCGACAGTGAGCATGTACAAGGATCCATGCGATGATCGATTCTCTTCATCGATTTTCTCTTTCAATTCTAGACGAAAAATTCAAAATATCCTATCTGCTTTTATCGATTCTCTCCATCGACTTTCTAACGGAGATATTCCCGATCAACTACGAAATGTTGCATAACATTGGTGCAAAATTGTGCACCCCGTTTTTGTGTGTGCATTTTTTTAGCGTTTTGAAGGTGAATCGCTGTGGAAACCTTATTTCTGGACAATCTCATTACCACCTCAAAATTTCAAGAGCACAAATATCAGCTCTCACAAAACATACAACAATGAAACTGGAACTTTACGTTTGCTGTAGTGCAGTACACAAGGAGTTCCAATTTCATAAGTGATGTCACAATAGCGTCTAAGATTTGTGCTTTAGAAATCTTAGGGAATATCCACCATCATGACGGCCATTGTTGGGTGCTTCAAGGAATCACCTGAAGAAAGTCCTTCCTTCATATCTGTTTGTAATTTAGGAACCAAATGTAATAGAATATGTATTGGCATTGTTATGAGGTCCCGAATTTAATCCAGTTTTACTAAGTAGGAAATCCAAAATATGTACACGGGACCGATATCATAGGTTACTTCTATTGTATTTTAAATCAATATCTAGAAAAATGCTTGTCAACCATGCGGTCGTGTATTGTACACAACCCCACCAATTTTTTTTCCTTGATTTTTTTTCTGGCGATCTTGTTTTCCGTGCTGATCACCTATGCTACCGACGCCAGCGAGGCAGCTCCCACACCTGGACCCTACCTATCGACCCATCAACTCACGAACCAGGGACCAACGGCTTTACTTACCGAAGGAAGGCGTGATCAGAGATGTTATGCCTCAGAACATCACGGCGGCGCCGACTGGGATTGAACCCAGGCCTTCTGGGGTGAAAGATAATCACACTTACCACTAAACCACCGGTGCCGCTGCATTTTGCTTGCCTGGGACTTTTTCAAATCAAACCCCACCTTCAACACATCGCGTCCTAGTCGCGTTCACCGCGTGTTGAAGGAGAGCAGCCCGATGCGTCCCATCTTATCGCATATCGTGCTGCATGCACGTTGCTATCGCTATTTTACGCGGTCACCTTATTTTCGGCGCAGTGGAGGAGACGCATCTTTGTCGGAGGTGATCGCATGTTCATCGAATGTCAGTTTCGAATTATTGGAGGTAGGGGAACTTGCCATGCCCACGGTGGTGACTAGTTTTCGCCATCGGGCCTAATGATGAGGCGTTAGATTTTTGGGCTGACAACCACAAATAGTGTTACAAAATCTCATTTGAATGCAGATATGGATGATGCCCTGGAGATTTTTTTCCTCTCATATTGCCTATTCATGTACCACCGCCGGTTTTCTGAAGGATGCGGTTGCGTTTTTCGATAGGGTTTGAATATAAATATCCACCCATCACCGGATGACATCAGTGTGCCGCAGTAAACCGTTGCTAGACAAGATCCCGCAAATAGCTAGTGTAGTAAACGATTAAGAAATCAAAATGAAATTCGCCGTTGTGTTTGCCGCCGTTCTGACCGTTGCCATCGCTGCCCCTGTGGAAGACCGGGACGCTCAAGTTCTGCAGTACGAGAACGACAATCAGGGAATCGGTGGATACAATTTCAAGTGAGCTTAGCTGTGCAGAAGGGATTCGAGTAATGCTAATTAGTGACTAATTGATGCTTTTTTTTCATGAATTCATTTCAGATACGACACCAGCAACGGAATCCAGCGGGTAGAACAGGCTCAGCTGAAGAACTTTGGCGAAGATATCAATGCCCTGGTTGTGCGTGGCTCGTACTCGTACGTGGGTGCCGATGGACAGACCTACACCGTGAACTACATTGCCGATGAGAATGGATTCCAGCCGGAGGCTGCCCATCTCCCCCATAACTAAGATGTACATGGATTTTTTTTTGTTAATTGATGTTCTGTTTTAATTTTTGAGGTGATACGAAAAGCGAAAATGAATTATAGATGCTGTGAATAAGTTGAAAATTCATGTGTTTTCTTCAATCGACTATGATTAATATCGGACAAGGTACAGTGAATTATTTGTCAGCAAACGTACGATTTTGCAATAGGTAAACGTATCTTGAAAAGAGGAAAATAGTCCCTGAAACGTTGATAAATGCTGCATAAAGCGTGCAACGTTATTACTATTTAACTGTTTTTTTTTTCTATATCATACGTCAATAGTTGCCTAGTTGAGGGCAACTATATCGATGATATTACAGTAAATTATCATCAGCATTTGACCAAGTTGCATTCAAAATTTGATTTGCATTTTTGAATTTTTAAAATTATTGCTCGCAGAACGCTGTTTGATTAACTGAATATGGACGTCCATGCGTATGACCAAAACTTTCTGATCCAGTAGGCTATGAAATATGACTGTCATAATTTTTCAAACTCTCGGTTAGTAGATGCAGCTAGGCAATACTGAAAAGCGTGAACAAAAGTTATTTTTGGCACGATTAATATAGTTAGGAAAAGTTGGCCGCTTGACAAAAAACAGGTACCGTTCCGATTCAAATTTCGGACGATTCAAATTTCGGACACTTTCATTTTTAATTAAATATTACATCCAGTTAGAAACAAAGTAATAATGTTAGATGATCGTCGAGGGTACTAGTCAAAAAAATTTAAAATTTACAAGACATGTGGATCATATTCGACCGAGATAATCAACTTTTAAAAGTGTCCGAAATTCGAGTTTAAGTGTCCGAAATTTGAATCGGCACGGTATTATGATGCGGAATTGAAAAAACCAATAATTGAAAATAGTAAGCAAGAAAAAAGAGTTCTTTTACTTAGAAGAGCGGGTGAAAAGAAATACGAAGAAATCATTTTTTTTTTTCTCACTTTGCTTCAAAGTGTTGTACCTCAGGAAGTACGCAAATTACTTTTTGTTGATAAGTGTTTCTTAAGTAAAAAAGGATGGGAAACACGATGGTGCTTCCCATCCTTTTGACGTAGGACTACGTCTGTGATTTCTATATGGGGGTACACTTTGTGAAAACCGAAAATGGAACATGAAATAAAATTGTGAAAGATTTTGATCCTTAATAACTCAGCTGCCCCTGGTCCAATTTCAATAATTTTATCACCAATCGATCAGAAATATGGCTACGCATCGACAATGCTTCCGAATATTGATTTTCAAAAAGAAACTATTGCAAAACTGGTAAATTTCCAGCATTGTCCAAAAACGTCGAATTAACTTACAAATCCACCAATTACATACATGCATATTAGACTGATGCAAAATTTGACTTTTTCGCTCCACAGTGCTTAAATGGTTTCAAATCGGGTCCTGATTAGCCTCCCAAAGTTACAACTAATTTGGTTAGAAACAGACTTCACACAAGCCATTTGAAGCTTACATGTAAATTACTGTGGGATATCTCAACTTTCTGTTCATTGCCTTCTAGTCTTTTTTCCATATTGAGCTACGAAACAGTTCGATAGCCATTCTTGTAAACAATTTTCTCAGCTACAACTTTGCTGGAGATCGTTTCTATGTAAAAAAAAGACAGTAAAAAGTTATTAATTATTTAAGAGGTTGGTAAACTTATGACATGATCAAGCAGCTGCTCTGTAGGCAACACTGTGTTTTGCAGTGTAACATAGTAGCCATGATTTTTGTGTCCTATTCAACGCCTCAGAAACACCAATGTTGCCTGCTGAGCAGTTGATTGAGCATGATCATAAGACATCAGCGCATTGAACCATTGAAAACTTTCGATCCTTGCATTTAATCAAAAAGTGGTCTTGAACAAAGTTGTAGCTGAGAAAATTTCCTACAAGCACAGTTGAAATTTTTTGAAGCAGACTTATATGGTGAATTATTAGGTAGACATGAACAAAAATATTGGTTTTACCATAGTAATTCCCATACAAACTTCAAATGGTTTGTGCCATCTCAGTTTCTCACCAAATGGATTCAAATTTTGAGAGGTTAGTCAGGATCCGATTTGGAATCGTTTAAGTATTGTGGAGCAAAAATTTCAAAATTTGCATCACTCTAATGCATATGCTGCTTCCCCAGCACAGTCGTCAGAGAGTAGTAAGTAGACGAGACAAGTCGAAGTGGCATTCGCCTCCAAACCTTGGGCACTTGCGAATAGGGAGGATGGAATTGCGTAATATTTTGCACACTCATCGCCATATTCAGAACCACACGCTCCCAACGACCGCACAAAATGCTCTCCAGAGTTGTAATCTTGTCACCAAACTTGGAAACAGGGGATACACTCAAAAAATATATCACATATGTAATGCATGAAATCCATGTGAATTTCACATAGCTTTCCAAAAAAAAAAATTGACGACAACCTAAAGAAATCGTTCATGAACTTTGTCGTTCAGTTTTTTTCCTAGATTTTTTTGTTAAATAAGCTAGAATTAAATAAAAATGGTTTTTTCCCATACATTTTTTAACCGCGTGTGTACGAGGAAACCCGAGGTGTGCTGAAGGTGTGCCGAGAAAATGTGATCCGTGATGCCGTCACTGAACACGCAGCTGCCTACACGTCATCATCATCTTCCAAAGGCTTTAAGCCTGTACTACCACCAACATTTTCCTAAAGAGTTAATTTTCTGAACATGTCCGAAGGTATGATATTTTTTAAAAACTTCAACGGGTTCCGGTCCAGATGGCGTACCATCGTTAGTTCTCAAACGCTGCCTGACGGCTCTCGCGACACCTCTAGCCAACGTTTTCAATCTCTCCTTGATGTCTGAGGTTTTTCCAGCTTGCTGGAAAGAGTCTTTCATGTTCCCAATCCACAAGAATGGCTACAAAAGGACTGTTTCAAACTACCGTGGAATAGCTTCGTTAAGTGCTACCTCCAAACTTTTTGAGTTGATTATATTCGAAAATTTGGTTCAAAGTTTTGCACACTGTATCTTGTAACGTTGTTCATCTATTTCGATTAGTTTTTCATATGGATGCGGTTTATTTGTTTAGGATAGGTTTCCAATTAAAGGTATACCCATATATGAACCATCTCCAATGCAATATTTTGAATATATAGCATGGTTCGTTTATTTAATAAATTGCTATAAAATGGTATAATATATAAATTTCAATGCCTTTTTTCCAATGCAACTTTAAATATATCTCAACACTAGGTTACCAATTTATAGAATAATGTTGTTTGTCGAATGAAATGGAAAATGGCTTTAGTGCAAAAACGAACATTCTAGAATGTGATAGAAATGTCAAATGTCATTAGCAGTCGACATTGGCCATTTCCTCTAAAACAAACTAGGTAGCATTTAGGATTCTTCTCTCTTTACCAAACTCCCCCTTTGGAGAGGGATGGTGAGGGGTGGCCAGTGGTGGCGGGGGGGGACACCCCTCACCATCCCTCTCCAAAGGGGGAGTTTGGTAAAGAGAGATGAAAAAACCGATTTGTACCTTCCTTAAAAGTTGTCCTAGTTCGCTATTCTAATATCTATATACAATCTTCACACTGCCGTACTCTAACGGAACTATCAACTCTATGCTTTCATCTACTCCATCTATCGTATAAAAATTACCACTACAGTCTGTTATTTGAAATTAGCATCTTCAACTATGTAAATCGTTGACTTCACGTAGAAGTAATACTAAAAACATATAGTCAAAGTAGCAATTTAATGTTAGATTTGGCTGAAAAACAGTATTCCGCAAAGTTGTAGCTTAGAAAATTTCCCGTAAGAATAGTTATAGAAATTTTTGAAAAAGCTATATGGAAAATGGGTAGAAGACAATAAACAAAAATTTTGGTCTTCCCACAAACTTCGAATAGTTTGTGCCAAATCAGTTTCTTACCAAATGAGTTTAAATTTTGGGAGGCTAATCAGGACCTGATTTGAAACCGTTTGAGCACTGTGGAGCAAAAATTTCAAATTTTGCATCAGTCTAATACCCACCCTAAACCGGATTGTCAGCAAAACATCGCCGCGGCTCGATGGACCGCTCGAACGTTGCCGTACCAGCCGAGAAGTCAACGCCAACATAAACCCTGCGCATGTGCGTCATCAATATGGCCATTACACTAAAACATTTACACGCCACTCACACAAAGTTCAACCCGATTTAGAAATAATGAATTGAAATGAATAAAAGTTTATTCACATGAAATTACCTTCTGTTCTGATTTATGCTACGAACCATTCCCTAAGTCAAAGCTTTCCGTTCACTTCGGTTCACTTTCGTTTACGTTCACCTCGCTTTTCGTTCTCCTAGTACGTTCGGTGTGAACGTGTGTTTTAGCGGCGTAAGACCGTCTGGAAACGTGATTTTTTGTTGAAATTTAGAAAGCTCTGTCGGCGTAAGTATCAACCGTTCGAAGACTCCCCTGAGGACTCAATATTTGCTCTTTAGAGCATAGTCGGACAATTCAACACGACCACGGCGCATAACCTACTGCATTTTAGAAAACTTCTCTTCAAGCGACTTCGACGGACGGTTACAATCTTGACGGATCAGCATGGCCTCATGCCTAAGCGTTCCATGACGACCAATTTAGTTACGTTCACTTCGTTCATCATTCATGAAGTAGAACGTGGCCATCAAGTAGTTGCCATCTGCACAGACCTCTCCGCAGCATTTGACAAAATGAACCATGACATTGCGTTGGCTAAATACGACAGGATAGGTGTTCACGATGGCCTGCTTGCTTGGCTCTACTCCTACCTGACTGGTCGAAACATGTCTCTCAAGATTGGAGTTTATGTTTCTTCATCCTTCCCCGTGACATCCGGCGTTACCCAAGGTAGCCTTGCCTTACCGTACCAATCAGGCTAAGGCTGCTGTCCTAAGAAGTCGTCTCCACTCTACTCGATCCATGGCCACACTTCGCCAGCCTCGTAGTCTGCGAAGGGTCCGCAGGTCGCCTTCTACTTTGTTACTGCCTAGCCAGGAGGGCTAGTCTATAGGTTCCCCTAACCTCTGG